AAAAGAGTAGCTGCTGAGGCTGCTTATGTACAGCCAAACCCCTCATGGGATTTGGTTCCTTAGTTTGGAGGTTTAGGGTCATGGTTTCATGGGACATCCCAGTTAATTGGCCTAATAACGTGTTCAGTGCTTCTGTTCTACCTCCTAGTTTACTGCATAGTGCCTGGTGTCTTAAAAGCTTGCAACCACCCACCCAAGGCACAACGATTGGTCTCTTTTCACCTAGAGCAAGAGAGGAAGGAGAGTCAGGAATAGGAGGATATAGAATGTGTGGTCAACTGCCTCCATGAACAACTGCCTCTTTTGCCATGAGACCAGAAGAAGTGAATGATGCCCGGCTACCATTACTGAACATTTTGATCAAAGATTCCACAGACAAATCCTGATAAAAAGGGGGAAAATGCAGAACAGAATTTAAAATCTCATGGATTCACCTTTCTCGAGCCATGGGAGTGGATGAAACCCTGAAGCTATTGTGCTGAAATAATCTTTAAATCTTAAACCAAAAATATCCCCCGAAGTCATGGGACAGCTGTGAGGCGGTGGTGGGCAGTTGAGGAGTGGCTGTTCATGGCAAGACTGCCCATAGAGAAAGGGAGGCCAGGCCTGTCTTGAACAAGACTGGAGGATACAGGAGTACACCTGGAACACACAGGAAGCCACACCAGAGCAAGTCATCAGACAGGACAACTGAACACCACAGCGGCCCCAGCCTTTCTGAGCCACTCTACAAATACAATGCAATCCCAATAAAAATACCACTAGGGCTGTCTGCTTGGTTATTCTGGAGCTAGACAAGTTGACAATAAAGTACAGTTGGAAAAATAAATAAGCAATATTAGACAGGAAAATTCTACTATTTTAAACACTGATCAGTATTGTACTGTGGTGGCTGCAAGTCGCTATGATACTGGAAGCCATGCCACCAATATTTCAAATACCAGCATGGTCACCTACGTGGACAGGTAACAGTGGATCTTATAGACTAAGACAGACTAAGAAGAAAGGCCCAGTGATCTACTTCTGAAAATCAGTCGGTGAAAATCCTATGGACCGTAACAAAATATTGCCTGATAGAGTGCTAGAAGATGAGTCCCCTAGGCTGGAAGGCACTTAAAACACACAGTGGCCACGACAGTGGATTCGAGCAGACCAACAACGTTTCATTCTGCTGTACATGGAGTCACCAAGAGTAGAAGCCGACTCACCAGCAACGAACAACAACAATTGGTACATGAATGAACAGAGGAGACAGAAAGTCCAGAAAGATGCCCAAGTACATATGAACGCTCAATGATAAAGGAGCATTTCAGATGACTGTGGAAAAGATGGATTTTTTTTTTTTAAAGAAGTGATGAGAGACAACTAGATAGCTCCCAGTTGCTGCTGAGTCAATTCCAACTCATGGTGACCCCATGTGTGTCAGAGTAGAAATGTGGTCCATAGAGCTTTCAATGGCTGACTTTTCAGAAGTAGACTGCCAGGCCTTTCCTCTGAGGTGTCTCTGGGTGGACCTAAACCTACAACCCTTCAGTTAGCAGCTAAGCATACTAACCGTTTTACTACCCAGATCTGGACAAAGATAAAACTGGATCCATTTCTCACATTGCACAGTCAGGTAAATTCCAAATGGATTAAAATGTAAATGAAAAAAATAAAGCTCTTTCAATTATTACTAGAAAGAATGGGCAGATTTCTTTATAACCTGGGAGAGAGAAAAACTTCCCTAACTATGACTCAAAGTTCAGAAATAATAAAGGAAAAACTGATACACTATAAAACTAAAAAAACTTATGCATGGCAAAAAAATAAAAACAACAACAAAATTATTATTCCAAAGACAAATGTCAAATTGAGAAACATTATTTCCAAACTATAACACAAGGGCCAAAATCCTTAATCTATAAAGAGCGTCTAAAGATGAAGATAAAGACCAATAACTTGATACTCAAAGAAATGCTGGCAAAAGATATGGACAGTTCACATGAAAAGAGAAAAAAATTCAACAGAATGTTTTAAACTCAGTGGGCTTGCTGTTATTGTTATTTTGGAACTATTACTATTTATCATAGGATAACACATGTATTTACGCTAATGTTAGGAATCACTCAAAAGAAGTAAATCCCTATAATTTTTAAAGTTGAAAGTATCAATATGAAATACAGACTCATTTCCTCTTTCTACACATTTCCTAGCTCTGCAAGGAGCCCGTAAGTAGTGACAATCCAGTGCCAACAATACTCCTCGTCTCCAGACAAAGGGCTTATTAAGCCACCAACAAAGGGGACCAGTGCTCATGAGAGAAATTCCAGGCCTGGGGCAGAAAATACACAGGATGAGCTTGGACATCGAGTCCTGAAGGCAAGGATGTTATTACCCACAATTACCAGGTAATGAGAAGAGCTTTCCTCTGGGTAAAGATACAACAGTCTGACCAACAACAACAGAAAAAGAATAGCCATAATGGATTGAAATGTATTAAATATAACAAAATTCATAAATCTATACTGATACTGAAAAAAATAACCCACACTGGTCCCCTCTGGAGGTTGCTGAACTCTAACTCTCTATATCAAAATGGATTCATGAAAGAAAAGGATCCAGCATTACCCTGCTTTTACCATAGAGACTTGTATTTTAGCATAACCAAATAATTGATGAAAATTCTGCTTTTACAGAAGAGTCAAAGGTAATAAAGAATGACATAAAAATAAAAAATTAAGAAATTAGAAAATTACTGGATCCAAGCAATGATTACTAATCTTCCAAAACCATGAGGTGAAATGTTGCTGTGCACCAACATCCCTGTCCCTGATCATGTGCGCACCCCCTGGAGGTGACACCTGCCAGCAGGGGCCTCCTGATACGATGTAGCACCACCCAGAAAACACTCTTGCCAGAAAAACCAATCCTGAAGCCTCTATCTAACTACTAAGTTACAGGAAAATTGGGGCATAAAGCAATATGTTAAGCAAAAACTTAAGAGATATAATTAGTATAATCAAATAAATGACAGAAAAAAGGAAAGAAAAATGATTCTAGATTAAAGTAGACCTAAGATACATGTAAACAAAACATAATGTGTGGACCCTGTCAGGATCCTGATACAAACAAATCAGATGAAATGCCATTTTTGAGATGCTGGGGAAAACTGAACGTTGTCTGCATACAGGATGATAAGAAGTTACTGCTATTATTGCTGGGTGTAGTGAGACTGTTGAGGCTATGTTAAAAAAAAAGCCTCAATCTGTTAAAGATATACACTGAAGTATTTACGGGTAAAATGATACATATGTCTGGAATTTGCTTTAAAAATACTGTCTACCCATCCATTTCCCAAGCTGGAGAAAAGAAAATAATGGTAGAACGTTGATGGTTATTGAAACTGGGTACGTGAGAATTCACTGTGTAAGTCTTTAGTTTTGTGTGAGTAGGAATATTTCTATAGGAAAAAGTTGAGAAGAAATTGAGTTTCCAAGTAGCAAATATACAACACATCATTATAATCTAATGTACATTTGGCTAAAAAGAAAACAAACAAACAAAAAAATTCACCTACCCCATAAAACAAAAATTACCTATCAGACTGAGAAACTGGGTCCAGGCAGAGTAGAAAGGAGAAACGAAGGTGTGGAAGAGGAGAGACCACAGTGTAGACAACTATGTTGAAGAGTCTGGCTCTGAAGAAAGAGATGAAGAATGACAGCTAGAGGGAATCTCCCAGAATGTTTACAAGCTGAGGGAAAGAGCCAACACTGAGCAGAGGAGGGAAGGAACAGTGTCCTAAACAACAGGTGCTGTGGGGAGTAGCATCTTTATGCATCACGGAGGAGGAACGACGGTGCAAGACCCAAGAGAAGGCAACTGAGGAGAGGAGAGAATCCACCTCCAACCCAGGGCTGGGTAAGCACAGGTGCAGATGAGCTTCTCACCTGGGCACACACTGGGCTGTAGTCACCAATGGTCTCTGTTGTCTGAGAAAGGGAAAGCAAGGCATCTGCCAAGGGCACACCAGTGTGAAGAGATAAAGTAACTCAGGTGTTAGAGTTAGCTTGGGCTTGAATTTTGACCATTATTGTGTACGTTCAGACAAATCAAAGCTTAATCCTCAACCACAAAAGAGATAACAGAGGGACTATAGAGTTAGTAGAAAGTGGTTAACTCCCTACAGTAGTTGTGAGGATAATAAAGGATAATGTCTTATCTGGCACACAATAAATATTAACTATTATCTTTACTTTTGAAGAGCTACTAAGGGAACTGAGAAAGGTAGGTGAGCAGGGACACGCAACAGGACAAAGGATTGTCAAGCAGTATGGAAGATGAAGTCTCTCATATACAAAGATTTAGTGGTGTCAATCCATAGACCTGGCTGAGTTGCTCAGTAGGCTGACGAGCAGAGAGGAAGGGGCCAGTTAGCTCCATGGTCAGGGACAAGCCAGAGTGGCAGTCTGACAGCATGCAGCTTTTCCCATTAAGTGGTGGAATCTATTTCCCACCCCCTGAACCTGGGCTAACTTTGTGACTTGGTTTGACCACAGCATGTGGTGGAAGTGAGGACGAGTTCTGGAGCCTGGGTTCAGGAGGCCTGGGGGCTTGGTTCTCACTCCCTCAGGACACCGCCCAAGCTCTTCACGTAAGGCGGCTAGTGTGGCCTACTGGAGGACGAGAAGCCCACGGAAAACACAGGCACTATGGCCAACGGCCAGCACCGACTCCTAGTCACCTGAGCAAGGCCACTGGACTTCACATAAGCCAACCATCACCACTGGCTGTGTGATTCCATTTCATCTTTTTCCCTAATTGCAGTGAGTGATACTGGGTGACTCTCTGTCTCAACCAATTTGTAAAATAGTAACAATTCAGAAGGTTTTTGTGAGGATTAACCACTGCGCCACCAGGGCTCCAATAAGATAATACATATAAAAATTCACAGAAGTGCTCTTGGCACATGGTTTATTTTATAATATCTTAAGTAGAAGGTACCTCCCATATTTTACCGTGAACTATCTTCAGGATAACGCTGTCCTACTGCTTCTTGGAGTTGGACATTGAGAAAAGACACATTCTGCCAGGTTTCCTTTTCTCTTATTTTATCAAAAATTGATGTATAGAAGTCATACATGGTATCTCCACCTTCCATTAAGAAAAAATTTCTCATGGCCTGCAAGTACTCTACCAACCTGAATGGGGAGAAAATAAGCAACAGAAAGATCTCAAGTTCATAAGACAGGATTCTTGATCAATACCAGGTTTTGTACACTACCATTTTAAAAGTGAAACAGGTCTACATTCATAAAATTAGAAATATTAACACCTTTTAAATACTTCTTTAAATAATAAAAGTAGTATAGTTTTTCTTTAATAATTAGAAAGAAATGTTACTTTTCTATATAAGATTGCAGAAAATTTGGCAGGCACAAAAGTGTAACGAAAAAGATTTTTAATCCAAATCCCACCATCCATGGTAAATTTTCACTACTAGTATTTAGGTTATTTGTTTCAGTCTTTTTTTTTTCTAAGCATTTTTTAAAAGTATAGTTGCTACCATACCATACCCTGCCTTTTAAACTTTAAGAACATTTTACGTTATTCAAAACTCTTTATAAACATAACTTGTACTAATTTTATAAAGTCCATCATAAAGATACACCATAATTTAAAAAATAGTCATCCATTACTGACTAAGTAATTTCACTCTTAACGTGATGGGCATTTTTGTGCAATAAGCTTTTTCTGTATTTCGTTTGGAATAGATTCTCAGAAATAAACAAAACAATCAAATTTCAGAATGTAGTTAAGGAAGTCCTCTTGAGAGAAAATTTGTTTGTTCCACATCCCGCTTGCTACTCAAAAAAAATTAACTTGGAATATACATTTTTATAATAATTTCTACAACAGTTCTTAAAATACGATAAACTACTATTTCCAAAACGCATTTACTCTTTTTTACCTGTAATCTTTTTTTAGGGTTTGCATGAGATTTCCACAGCAATCTAGATATTGTTTATTGATATGAGGGTAGAGGCAAGATCTCAGTGTTAATTCAAAAGTCTGGCATGTCACAGATTCTGATGATCTATCCACACAGATATCACCACCAGCAAACTTCTCATGAAAGTCACTCTGTTCCAAATACAACCTTTAAGATAAAAATTGTGAATCTTCTTTTTATGAGATACTGTCAATGGAACCCCAAAGTCTCCGTTTTACCTTTAGTCCTAAAATTACCAACCATTACACAAAGAAAAAATCTTTTTCCCAAAATATCCTTTGGGTGAATCAGAGTCTTTCACAGAGTTGCTTCTGCCTGTAGGGACCGGTACCTGAACTAGTCTTTCTAGCCATTAGGGACGTGCCCAGAGAATGACAGCCATCGACAAGATAGCACTGTGTGGGTATTAATGACTTGTTTCGTGGGATTAAGCACCTACAAGCACCTTAAAAGCCTGAGGTGCATTTTATGCAGCGGGAGACTCTGACTTAATTTGCATGTCTGATGCCACCCATGACCCACACTTTAACAAGCACCTTTTGTATGAGTGACAGCACTCTTTATGGGCCTAAAGGCACAAAGACAAAGAACAGGGTCAAGTCTGTGGACTTCCACAAGCAGCAAGGAGGTCAAGTCATACAGCTGAAATACGTAAACACGTCTTTTTGTATTCCTTTCATTAAAAATAATAGGCTACAAGTTCTTATTTTTAAGGCTAGAAAACTCTACTGGTCAGAAATAAACAGCTACTAAATATTGCACAGACTCCATCATTTCAATTGTCAAAAAATTTGCAGGTGTGCATAACCTTGCAAAATTAATAGCCAGCAGCGGGTCATGAACATCATCCAGTTCAAGGTGTCTTTCAGCAATGGACTGCATCTTAATTAGGCTCTCCTTGGTCGTCTGTTGCTCAGTAAGGATACATGGAGTGGTATCTTCACCATGCCGAAGACGGGATTGCACAGATTCCAAAAAAAGGTTATACAAACTTTTTCTTTCTGCATCTGAAATACAAAGAAAAATGTATGGCAAACTATGTTATGGCAATTAATATTAAGAAAGATTAAGTAATTTCACTGTAACACAGCCTGGCATTTTCCTTTGGCATATGAAGGTCTGTTCGTGTTTCTTTACCTAGACTCTACAATGAAACATTTTTTATATCCTCTGTTGAACAATTACAAAGTTCATGGTTTAAATATCAAAAAGTATAAGCTGACTGTTTTTCTGAATAAATTAACATCCTAAACAGGACTCTTGAAAGTTACTACCATGTTGTTGTTGCTGTTAACTGCCTCACTGTAACACTAGTAGGAGTCATCAATTAACCGCCTCACCGTGACACTAGTAGAAGTCGTCAATTAACCGCCTCACCGTGACACTAGTAGGAGTCGTCAATTAACCGCCTCAGCGTGACACTAGTAGGAGTCGTCAATTAACCGCCTCAGCGTGACACTAGTAGGAGTCGTCAATTAACCGCCTCACCGTGACACTAGGAGGAGTCGTCAATTAACCGCCTCAGCGTGACACTAGTAGAAGTCGTCAATTAACCGCCTCAGCGTGACACTAGTAGGAGTCGTCAATTAACCGCCTCAGCGT